AGCCTAAATAGGAGAATTGAAATCAATGTGTCAGGAATGACTGACCAGAAAATCTATGAAGAAGAAATAAGTAGATTGGAAATAAAACTTGGAATTTTGAGTCTTTACTTAGTGTTTAGATCATCAACAATGTACTTAATGGTTAGAGATCAAAAAACTGTGATCCAGTTTTATCAAGCCAGATGGAGTACAGAATCAAGAAAATGAAAAAAAAAATCAAGGGGCATTTTATATAACAGATATTTTGCTGATATTATATGGGTTGAAAAAATAAACCTGCATAAAATAAAACTATTCAAAGGAGATTCTTACAGTCTATGATTTTAAAATCATTGACATTTACAGTGCACACTAATGCCACATTGTGTTCAGCAATTTTATTCATATAATCATGTTTATCCAAATTTAAAGTTCACCAAGGATAGGATTTTTATTTATGTTGCTTAATTTTTAATTAGAAAACTTTAATGAACAAAGGAGGCTAATGAGAATGATGAGAACCCTTTGCAAAAAAATGGGTCCATACTGCTTTCTTGTTATGATCCATTAACCTTGATCTAGTTGTCAGGAAAAGCAGTCCTTATGCAGTCTCAAATATCTTGTCAAAGGACTTTGTTGAAAGGCCTTAGAACCAAAGGAGGTATATCAAACTGCTTCTTAATTTCCCTTTTTCTTAAAGATAAGCAATATTTCATTGTGATCATGAATTTATTCCCTCCTTTGCTTCTGGACTTCTAACATTGCTCAGTTCAATGTCTCTCAAGTGAGTATGGAAAGAGGGGTGGATGATGGAGATGGGGTTTTTCACTATTGAGAATTATTGTTGAAGGTGTGTGGACCTAAATCTTGAGCACCTTCCTGAGCAAACTTGATTTCAATGTTTCCAGAATGAGGGGTGCCTGTTTTATGTATTTTTAAACACTTTCTTTACTTTTTAAAAGGTGTCCAAGAAACATACAAGCACAAAATTTAACCCGTGTCTCTGAATTCCTACTCATGAGCTTCTCAGAGGATCCAGACCTGCAGCCCATCCTCTTTGTACTATTCCTGTGCATGTACCTGGTCACCATCCTGGGAAACCTGCTCATCATCCTGGCTGTCTGCTTTGACTCCCACCTCCACACTCCCATGTACTTCTTCCTCTCCAACCTGTCCTTGGCTAACATTGGTTTCATTTCTACCAGGGTTCCAAACATGATTGTAAACATTCAAATTCACAATGATATCATCTCGTATGTAGGATGCTTGAAACAGATGTCTCTTTTTACCATTCTTGTCTGTATTGATTATATGCTTCTGACTGTGATGGCCTATGACCAGTTTGTGGCCATCTGTCACCCCCTGCATTATGCAGTCATTATGAACTCTCGCTTCTGTGGCTTCTTAATTTTGGTGTCATTTTTTTGCTGAGTCTTTTGGACTCTCAGCTGCACAATTTGATGATTCTTACAAATTACCAACTTCAAGAATGTTGAAATTTCCAGTTTCTTCTGTGACCCTTCTGTACTTCTGAATCTTTCCTGCACTGACACCTACTCTAATAACATTGGCAAGTATTTTATTGCTACTGTATATGGCCTTCTTCCCATCTCAGGAATCGTTTTCTCTTACTATAAAATTATGTGCTCTCTTCTGAGAATCCCCTCTTTAGGTGGGAAGTACAAAGCCTTCTGCACCTGTGGCTCTCACCTGGCAGGTGTTTGCTTATTTTTAGGAACAGGTATTGCAGTGTACCTTGGTTCAGCTGCATCACACTCTCCCAGGAAGGATGCGGTGGATTCTGTGATGTACACTGTGGTCACCCCCATGCTGAACCCCTTCATCTCCAGCCTGAGCAACAAGGATATTAAAAGGGCCTTGAGGAGGCTGCAGAGGTGGACAGTCTGATCTTTGTCCCTGTGGGGTCTGGTTGCAATGTGTGTGGGAAAATGTAGTAAAGCTAAATAACTGGCCCTGTCAATATGCTTCTTATGTGTTAATTTCCCATCGAGTTCCATAGTAGAATGGCACACACTATGTTGGGTGGCAAATTTGGAAAGTTTTCCTACTGGGAACAAGGTTTAATATTGGTAATATGAAGAATGTTGGGGAAGGATGATGGTTATTGTATCACAACAAAGTCTATATTTAATGCCATTAAACTATGCTATTGATGATGACGATAATGGCAAATATTTATAATTTTAAAATGCCATAATGAAAATGTCTTGGGAAGCTACTATGTTTAAAAATTAATTAAAGAATCCAAGAGTGAAAATGGACTTTTTTCACAAAGAATTACTGAAAATAACCAGTTGATGTTCATTTTCTACCCTTATTCTTCCACCATTGCTGTTAGGAAGTCCTTAGTTTGTGATGTGCTCACCTATTGGCCAGCCAGGAGTGCTATGCTTTGAGCCTCCAAGGTCACACCATAGTCAATGGGCAGCCTGTGCCACCAGCATTTCAGCTTGATGGCTCCAGTCAGGTGGGCCCCATCCTGTGTTTCTTTTCACCCTGGTTATGTCTATTAGGAGGCCCTACCTGAGTGTGCACAGATGTCAGCCCTAAAGATGAGGTGGGAGACCCCTGGGTACCAGCCATGAGGAATCCACTCTCCTTAGTCACGACCACCTGAGCCCGTGTAAATAGGTAACTGCTGAGGGAGGTGAGGATGGAGGAAGGACCAACATGCAGTGTGGCTGCCCAGAGGGGAGAGCACTGCACAGTGTCAGTCATGGGGATTGAGCATGGAGGCATGTGTGTGACATCCACGGTGGTGGTGAGCATGGCAGCAATGTCACTACAGTTTTCTTTTCCTCCCAAACTGATCCTTCTTACCACACACTGTCATCCTCTTGGAGGGAATGTGCTCTTCACACTGTCCTCAGCACTGAGAGATGTCTATGTAGGTCAGGAGGAGGAGGTGGACCTGGATGAGGACAGCACACCAACATATGTTCCTTCAATGAGAGTTCCCTGAGTGCCTGAAGTGTGAGCTATTTGCAGATTGTTTAAATTTGTCTGAAAATCTTCACAAGGTATAAGTGCCATGACCATGATATTTTATTTCACAGAATTGAGAGGATCAGAGTTTTTAGTAACTTGTGCAAACTGTTTAGATCAACTAACTGAGGCTATGATTGAAATGCACTGTCGGTTTGAGGCACATGGCATCTTGGCAGGACAGTGCTGGCAGGTTGTCCCCTCCACAATCCATTTGTGTTTTACATTCTTGTCAGTCCAGGAGAGGACCCTATTTTTCTGTGTACTTCCCTGTGGGAATTCTGGTGGATTCCAGGACAGAGAAGCCAATGGCATCAGTTGCACCAGCTATGGAAGAATGGCTGATATAAGACAAAGATCTAAGGTCAAGTGGGCACAGATAATGCAAGACAGACCTCATTGTGTCCCCCTCTCTGGGACACCCTTGCAGCTGCCACATCCTCCTGTGTGCTGATAATCAGCTCACTCAATTTAAATAGGAGACCAAAAGCAGGTCAGGATTTCATTACTACTTGGAAAGGAATAAGACTGTATTCGATACGTACCTGCAGCTAAAAACTCTGGATTCTGTTGATAAATCTCTGATTTTTGGAAAACAGTGAAGAGATTAGTGCATCAGAACCAGAGAGTTAAAATTCAATTTTGGCTTCTGTTGTATCAGCTGGTTCTTTCTTGAATACCTGGCAGGTTGTTAGTGTCTATGATACTCAGCAATGTCATCCAAGGTGATTTATAGATGATAGAATATCACTGAATCCACATTAAACTGAAAATGTGTATTACCTATGTGACTGATATTTGATGAAGGTGCAAAATATGGACAAAATGTTAGATAGTTATTATTCATATGGAAAGGCTAAACTTCATAGTATTCAAGTGAAATGTTTTTGACATGAATTTATTGTTTTGATATTTTTATAATGTTATATTTTCATACTCCCCTTATATAAGTATATGCTGTATATCTGGGGTGGAATGACCATCTGTCTTTCTTTTCTGATACCCAAGAACTTACACCATTTTAGGCACAGAAGATATATATATATATATATATATATATATATCTTCTATTATATATCATATTATATATTTTAATTATATATATTAGAAAATGTATTAAGTATTCAATAGGCCATTTCTCTACAAACAGTTTTGCTTTGCTCAGTGGTCATTCAACACATGAGTGCTCTCCTGTCTGTATCTTCCTTCTATTCAGGAATGTCCTCCAGAGTCATAGACAAGATTGAGCAGCTCCTGTTTGTGTTTCCCTTAAACAGGGCCCATACCTCCCTTTGTGAACATCTACAACCTTCAACAATGGCAGAGGTGTCTATGAGCCTAGGAAAACCAAAGTAAGAACAAACAGAAGTGACAGGAGACTCTTTAAACTTGGCCTGAGATGCTCTAGAGAGTTTCACATTGTTCTAAGACTACAATGTCCTTTGACAGTTTTGTTGATCATTAGACCCACTATATAACTGAAGACTGAATGGTTAATTAAAAAAACCACAAAACATAAAAACCATAATGACTAAATAAATGCCATTTAAGGGTAGACTTATTCAGGTTCCAGAGCAAATTTTTGTTATTTATATTTTATCCTAATAAGAATGGATGTTAAATATGTATCTTTAAACATGTAGAAGTGAAAGAAGTAAATTGAACATACAGCTTAGCTCCTCATTAGTTTTAGAGTCCAAAACTCATGTGGACATACATTTTCTTTGTATTCTCCATTAGTGATGGGAACTCCTTGGAGATGGAGATTTCATGGACCAATTAGTTTAATTATGAGCTCTGTGTACTGATCTTCCAAGGTCATATCATAGTTCATAACAGTCTGTGCCTGCTGCCCTTCCATTGATAGTTCTTGTCCAGTGAGCTGCATGGCTGTACCTCCTCCTGGGGTATCTGCATCAGGAAGCTCCTGAGCACACAATCTGTTCCTCTGGACACAGTTGCTCCTTTGCTGGGCTCCACACTTGGTAGGGTCTCAGGATCAGCACTTCTTGGTCATGACCCTGCAGGGAAGCAGCGTGACCCAGTAAGTGCAGAGGGGGCCTTGGATGTAGGAAGGATAGGGGAAGTAGTTTTACCTCAGCATGAGGACACTAACCACTGAGTATCCAGAAGGGAGGACACCACATGCAGCTTCAACTTGGGGTTGTGGGGTTCAAGATTTTATTTCAGGTGGGGAGATGAGAAATCTTATTCAAACTGTGCTTTCCACCCACACTGGTTCTAATTCACACAGAAATCTCACCCACAACCACACAAAATGAGTCCTTCAGAAGTGTTTCCTAAGCTCTAGGAAAGGACTAGGTAGTGATGATAAGGATGATGAAGGGGATGACAGGAGACTAGATCATGAACTGGTGTGCCGGGTTTCCCGGGCTCAGGTGCTGAGCAGAGTGTTTGGTCTTATTTCATGTGCACCATCTCATTTTGTTATATGTGTCCACACTATTATTGGTATATAGAAAAAGGAAAAAATGTGTTTTACTTCTGTAACATGTACTCCATTGTTAGGTGGGAAAGGGTGCAGCCTGTTTGCACTGGGCTGTCTGACCATGAACCTAGGACATCACAGAAGAACCATGGTAGCCTGTCCCATCAGAAGGCCAACCTGACATTTATCTTCCCTGTCACTGCAGATAGAGTGGTGCTCTTCCAGTTGGGATTCCTGGGGACCACAGGGCAGAGCAGTGGAGGGGTGCCTACTGCATGCATCACGTAAGAACAGCCACAGGTCACAGGAGAGGTAACAGTAGGGGAGGTTGATAATAATTCAGCACTGATCAGACTCTTTGGCCTCCTCCAGAACCTTCTTGGAGCTCACCACATGCTCCCCCATGCTTGTAAAAAGTTCTTTCACACTCAAAGCAAACCTATGGTCAGGATTTTATTTCATTCATGAAACTGGAAAGGTTTAAAAAATGTACCTGAGGTTTGCCAGTGGTTAAGACCTCTGGACATAATCTGAAAACTTCCTGTTAGGTGGGAAAGAATAAAAACATGTAGTGGATGGGTCTCAGAGTCTGCCAGTCCCACTTACTCTGTCTGTGAAGTTGTGCAGGTCACTAGTATCTGGATTCACCATTGTCATCTGGGTTGATTTCTAGTTGACACCCCTTCAGTGAGTAAGGATTAAATAGACCCTGGAGATGCATGTGCGCTGTACTGGAGGATAACATCTCCTTCCTTCTATTCTGACTCCTGTGTCCCTGCTTTGCTTGGCCCAGGGAGGCAGCTAGAGCAAGTCTGTTGAGCACTGAAACCTGCCCCTCCCCCATTTTCCTTACCTTAATTGGCCAAAATCAATTTGAATTAATGGGGTTATTGATTCCTGTCTGTATGTTCATTCTTTAAGCCATGCCCTGTGGAAACAATGACAACTTTAAAGTTTCTGTCTGTGTCCCTATCACAGTTACAGGTACTCCTTATTATTTTGTAATATCATTTACAATAGTCAACTTGTATGGGATCATGACACAGATCTTCATGAGTTTAAAAAGGAAATTAAGCAGAAACATAAGGGGCACCTAAAGCTTGAGCCTTCAACTGAGGCACAGATCAGATTCCACATCCTTCAAGGTTCCAGTGTCACCTGAAAATAGCTTTCCTCCCTAACTTTGATATTTCCCTAATCATGGAATTCTTAAAATTAAAATCACAATGACCAAATTTATTACCTTCCTTCCTTGTCTTTGTTGCCCCGTGTTTTGGAGATGGGTGTGATTTTCTCTATTTTCATTAAGCAGTGAGTGAGGGAGATGGAGGGATTCACACACTGTGCACACATTGGCAGGTCCTTGTGGTGGGACTGAGCTGTGGCCTTTCTGACCCAGCCCAGGGCACCATCTCCTCTGCTGGAGCCAAGTGGAAATATTATCCTTTATAGAAGACAAGATTTTTTCAGGTGTTATCATGTAGAGAATATGCCTGGGTGCAGCAGTGTTTCAATGTTTTGATGATACATAGTAAGACTAAGGTAAACATGATAACAGTTATTTTTAATAGTGACATAAATGCAGCCATTAATAGTATATTTGGACATGCATTTTTTTCCATTGAAAATCAAACACCTCTACTGTGTCAATATCTTATACAGAAGTTCTTATTTGAGTGACATGGAGAGAGGCAGAAGCGTTTTGAAATGGTTGCCATACTAATAAACTGTCCAGTTAAGCAATGTCCATTCTTCAGGTGACACTTTGCATCCAATAGAGACTTTGAAGTCTACCAATGTACTTCACAGATGGAATTAAGACTTCATGTTAATTTATACTAGTAGATTTGGGGGGCAATGGGTATTGTGTTGCAGACAACAGGTTCTTTAGATGGATTTTAATGAAAAACTAGATGGATGTGTAAATGAATACTGACATAGAAAACATTGACAGAAAATTACACCTTTTCAATTCATAATAATAAGTATGTTTGGGAGACAGGTTTGCAGGAGAATGGAATCAGGAAGAAATACTAAGTCTCACGTTTCTTAGATAATTGTACAATTTCTATCCAAGGTTAGTCCTGAGACAAGTATTATCAAATTCTTATGCTTTCATATAGGCAGAGGGTATTATTGACAATAAGAATAGGTAATATTCATGGAGCCTGTTCTATGTGTCAGGATGTTGTTAGACATTGGTTTCCAACTCTAGTGAAAAAGGACCCCTGACCTTCAAATGCAGATATGTTGATTAAATTGGTGTTGATCTGATGTCACATTATATGGATATACTAAAATATCCACAAGTGGATATAGTAATAAATGAGACACAACCACTAGATACACAATTGGAAAGGTAAAACATAATTTCTTATGAGAACCAAGATAGGTAATTATTTTCCTATATTTAAAATTTGAAAATTCCCCAGAAGTGTTTACCTTAGTTCCTGTACTGTCCTTTTATGAACTGTTATCTAATTCAAGCACAGTGAGAACTAACATATAACAAACCAGATTTGTCATCATGTGGCTTAAGACAGAGAGCTGAAATCCACACATAAGGAATGACCAGATATCCATAAAGTGGAAATAAGATGGTTGGAAATAAGAGAGAGCTTTAGGGCTTCCCATGGTGCTCAGATCTTATATTTTGAACTTGATGAGCTGAGAACACCAAACCCTGAAGCAGTTTTAACAGGTCAGAGGGAGAAAAAGCACAAAGTGTTATTTTGTATATCAGATATTTTCCAGATATTGTATGGATAGAAAAAAAAGCCTGTGTAAAATTAAACTATTCAAAAGTATTTCCTATCATTTGTAATTTTAATATCATCTACTTTTGCCACATTAATAGTCAGTGTTACTATTGATTAAGTGCATTTAATTCAATCATATTTATTGACATTTGAATTGTGCCAAAGACAAGAATATTTGTTTCATATTACATAATTTTTGAACAGCAATCTTAAACTCACAGAGGAGAGAAGTGAGAAAAATCAACAAATGATGAAACCCTTTCAAGAGAACTGGCTCATAACCTGCTTTCTGACAGTGACCCATCACCCTTAATTTAGTTGTTAGAGAATGGAGCCCCAATGGTATCTTAAATAGAATAATTCAAAGAAGTTTGTTTTGTTACATACACAAAAATGAAGTAAATTGTCCTGGTTCTTAATTAACTTTCATGAAGATTGCTTTTTCTTACTTGAAAGGTCATTTTTTAATCTCTGTTTTCCTTTAAACCATAGGCTATATTTTATTATCTTCTTGAACTTCTCCCTTCTGCTCCTGGGCTTCTAACTTTGCTCAGTTTAATGTCTTCAAATAGGGAATGGAAAGAGGGGTTAATGATGGAGAGAGCCATAGTGAAAGAATGTGCAAGACTGGGTATTGCACTACTGAGAACTATGTTGAGGGTATGTGGATCTCTAGTGTGAGCAGCTTTGTGGTGCATACTTGAATTCAAATGCACACAGAATCAGGGAGGCCTGCTGATGTAGTCTTTTTCTCACTCTCATTGCTTTCTGAAAAGATGTCTGAGACATAAAGAAGTACAAAATTTAACATGCATCCCAGAATTCCACCCCATAGGTCTCTCAGTTGACCTAGACCTAGACTTCCTGGTCACAGTGCTGGGGAACCTACTCATCATCCTGGCCATCAGCTCTGACTCCCACCTCCACACTCCCATGTACTTCTTGCTCTCCAGCCTGTCCCTCACTGACGTAGATTTCGTCTCCATCACTGTCCCAAATTTGCTGGTGAACATACAAACTCACAAGGAAGTTGTCTCTTATGTGGGCTGCCTGACACAGATGTCTCTTTTTGCCATTTTTGGATGTATGAATTATATGCTTCTGACTCTGATGGCCTATGACCAGTTTGTGACCATCTGTCACTCTCTGCATTACCCAGCTATAATCAACTCTCACCTATGTGGCTTCTCAATTTTGATGTCTTTTTGCTGAGTCTTTTGGACTCCCAGATGCACAATTTGATGATCTTACAAATTACCAGTTTCAAGGATGTGGAAATTTCTAGTTTCTTCTGTGATCCTTTTTTTAAAAAAATATTTATTTCCTTTAGTTTTTGGTGGACACAACATCTTTGTTTGTATGTGGTGCTGAGGATCGAACCTGGGCCCCACGCATGCCAGGTGAGCATGCTACCGCTTGAGCCACATTCCCAGCCCTGTGATCCTTCTCAACTTTTGAATCTTTACTGTTCTGACACCTTTTCTGATAACATATTCAAATATTTTTTTGTTGCCACATATGGCCTTTCCCCATCTCCAGGATCCTTTTCTTTTACTAATTTTATGTCCTCCATTCTGAGGATCCCATCCTTAGGAGGGAAGTACTAAGACTTCTCCATCTCTGGCTCTCATCTGGCTGTGTTTGTTTATTTTATAGAACAGGCATTGATGAATAATTTGGTTCAGCTGTGCCACATTCTCCCAAAAAGGGTGCAGTGGCCTCAGTGATGTACACTGTGGTCACCTCCATGCTGAACCCCTTCATCTACAGCCTGAGGAACAGGGACATTAATGGAGCACTGAGGAGTCTGCAAAGCAGATCTGATCCTATCTAGAATTCTAGATAGGGCAGAAAGGTGGGAGGGAAAGGGAGGGGGCAGGGGATTAGCAAGGATGGTGGAATGTGATGGACATCATTATCCAAAGTACATGTATGAAGACATGAATTGGTGCCGATATACTTTATATACAACCAGTGTTATGAAAAATTGTTTTATATATGTGTAATAAGAATTGCAATGCATTCTGCTGTCATTTATTTTTTTATCAATAAAAAATAAAAATAATAATAATAAAAGATATTGTGTCCACCCAAAACAAAAAATATATATTCAAAATAAGTTGAAAACTTGAAATCACTGTTCTATGTTAAATAATTTCATCTATAGTAGGTTAACAATACAATTAACCAAGGCAATAAAACTATGTTACAAATGTGACTGTTATAACATTAAAAAAAAGAATCCATCTGGTCCTTGGCTTTTCTTGGTTGGTAGGCTCTTGATGATATTTTTTATTTCATTACTTGAACTTGGGTGGATCATATGTCTAGAAATATTTTAATGTCTTTGATATTTTCTATTTTCTTGGAATATAAATTTTCAAAATAGTTTCTAATTATCTTTTGTATTTCAGACATGTCAGTTTTGATATTTTATTCTTCATGTTGTATTTTAGCAATTTGAGTTTTCTCTCTCTTTCTTTTTGTCAGAATGACCAGGGGTTTTTTTTATTTTATTTATTTTTTCAAAGAACAAACTTTTTTGTCAGTTTTTCAATTGTTTTGATTTCATTGATTTCAGCTCTGATTTTAATTATTTCCTGTCTTCTACTGCTGTTGGTGTTGATTTCTTCTTCTTCTTTTTTCCCCCTAGGGCTTTGAGACATAGTTTTATTCATTTATTTGTTGACTTTTTATTCTTTTAATGAATGCACTCAATGCAATAAACTTCCCTCTCACTACTGCCTTCATGATGTCCCAGAGATTGTGATATAATATGTCAGTGTTCTCATTTACTTGTAAGAATTTTATTTCATCCTTGATTTCTTCTACTATCCATTCATCATTCAATAGTGTATAATTTAGTCTCCATTTGTTACAGTAGCTTGTATTTTTTTATTTTATCATTGATTTCTTATTTCATTCCATTGTGATCTGATAGAATGTAGTGTATTCTCTCTCTCTTTCTCTCTCTCTCTCTCTCTCTCTCTCTCTCTCTCTTTCTCTCTCTCTCTCTCTCTTTGTTTTTACTAAGAGTTGCTTTGTGGCATAAGGTATGGTCTATTTTAGAGAAAGAGTTGTGATTCTGAGAAGAAAGCATATACATTTGTTGATGGATTATGTATGTGAAGTCTGAATTATTGATTGTATTATTTAGTTATATAGTTTCCTTATTTAGTTTTTGTTTTGAAGATCTGTCCAGCAGTGAGAGAGGTGTGTAAAGTAGGAACAGAGGGGAGTGAGAGGAGACCCTCAAGCTTGTTCTGAGACACACTTTAGAGTTTCTCATCATTCCAATCTGTAGTCTATTTGACTCTTGAAATTGAGAAGAGTCTGTTTAATGTACATAGATGTTCCATTGTTTGGGGCACAACTATTTATAATTGTTATATCCTGCTTATATATACTTCCCTTAAGAAGTATGAAATGTCCTTCTTTGTTTCTTCTGATAACTTTGGTTTGAATTCTACTTTATCTGAGATGAAAATGGAAACCCCTGCTTGTATACAGAATCCATATGAGTGATAAGTTTTCCCCGCATCCTTTCACCTTCAGCCTGAAAATGTCTTTGCCCATGAACATATTGTTGAGTCTTGCTTTTTAATCCAATCTATGTTTTTTGGTTGATGAGTTTAGGCTGTTGACATCCAATGTTATTATTGTGATATGTTTTGTATTCCCTGTTATTTTGATTTATTTCTGGTTTTTAATTTGACTTAGTTTCTCCTTTGATTGAATGTCCCTTTAATGTAGATCCTCCCTTTGCTGGTTTTCACTGACTAACAGGTCTTGTTTTTGTCTGGTCACTGAAACACAAGCCCTATACTTCTCCTTAACAGCATCTACAAACTTCAGTTACTCAAGAACAATGGCAGACGTGTCCATGAGCCTAGGAAAAGTAAAGTAGGAACAGAGGGGAGTGAGAAGAGACCCTAGAGCTTGTTCTGAGACACACGTTAGAGTTTCTCATCATTCCAATCCTGCAGAGTCCTTTGACAATTGTCCTGAGCAGGAGAACCACTATTTTTTAAATGACTGAATGCTTCATTAAAAAAATGGCCAAATAAATGTAACTAAAGCATATGCTCATTAGGTTCAAATAGCAATGTTTTGTGATTTATATTTATATTGCATATTTCTACTGAGAATAGACATTAAAATCTGATTATCTTTAAAACACAGAAGTGAGAGCAGTAAATTGAGTACATAAAGTTCCTCCCAATTAGAGCTAGGGTCCAAATCTTAAGTGGACCTTCATTTTCTTTTCTTTATCTTCCTGCATTAATGTTGAGAAATCCTTAGAGATCACAGTGCATGGACCAGTTAATTCAATAATGAGCTCTGTGCAGTGAGCTTCCAATATCCTATATTAGTGCACATTCAGCCTGTACCTGCAGCCCTTCAGTGCATGGTTCCTGTCCAGTGAGCTGCGTGGCTGTGTCTCCTGCTGTGATTTTGCATCAGGAAGCTCCCAGCTGACAGTATATTCATGGGAATGCTGGGCACAGAGTCTGAGTCTTTGTTGGGCACCAGGTATGGGTGGGTCTTGGCATGTGCACTTCTTTTTCATGAGTCAGCAGAGAAGCAGTATAACCCAGTAGGTGCAGATGGAGCCTTGGGACCCTGGAAGAAAGATGGCAAGTATTGTTCCTCTATCAGAGGGACAAACATCACAGTTTGAGTATCCAAATGGGAGTTTTCAGTATGTAAATTTTCATGCATCTTGTTTGAAAAGTTTAGGTTTTTTATTTTTACTAGGGTATTAGATATCTTATTTAAAATGTGCTCTCCATTCACACTGGTTCTGTTTCCCATAGGGTACAAAATGTGTCCTCAGAAGTGTTCACTAGCCTGGTGCAGCAGTGTGTGCATGTAATCCTGGTGGGTTGGGAGGCTGAGGCAGAGGTTTGCAAGTTCAAGGCCAGCCTCAGCAACTTAGCAAGGCCCTAATTAATGTAGGGAGGTCCTGTCTCAAAAAATGAAAAGAGCTAAGGCTATGGTCCTGTGGCTAGGCACACCTGAGTTCAATTTCTGGTACCAAAAAAGAAAAAAAAAAACAGAAAGAATGAATAGAAAAAAGATTTCCTAAGCACCATGAAGCCTCTGGTGGTGATAAGGATGAGGAGGACAATACAAGAAACCAGAGCACCATGGACTGACGCTCAGAGCTTCCCAGGCTCAGGGGGTGAGCAACATGTTCCCTATCATCAGTTTCATTTCTTGTGCATTGTCCCACTCTGAAAATGCATGACCCATTTATTATTATTTTACAGTAAAGAAGAAACTTTATAATTATGCTACTTGCTCTTGTTGTTAGATAGGAAAGACTGCAGCCTGGTTGCACTGGGCTGTCAGACCATGGACACAGGGCACCACAGGAGAATCCTGTCCCATTCCTCTTCCCTGTCACTGCAGAAAGAGAGCCTTGCCCATGGTGCAGTTCCTTGCTGGATTCCTGGTGATGAAGGCAGAGCAGGGCGGTGCCTGCTGTATGCACTGTGGAAGAACAACCAAAGGTCACAGGAGAGGTCACAGTAGGGGAGGCTGATGATCATTCAGCACAGATCATGCTATTGGGCCCCTTCCATGACTTCCTTGGACCTTATCATATGACCTTTCATGCTTGAAAACATCCCTCTAATCTTAAAACAAACCTAATATGTCTTTATTTTATTTTATTCTTACGTCACTGGAAAGAACTTAACTGTGTACCTGATATTTAAAATCTTAGGACATAGGTAGAGAACTTTATGTTGGGTGGAAGAAAACAAAAACACATAGCGGATGGGTCTTAGAGTCTTTCAGTCCCACTAATTGTGTCTGTGAAGCAGTAAGTCACTAGTGTCTGGATTCAGCATTGATATCTAAGTTGGTTTTTGTTTGATACAACTGCATTGACTAAGGATGAAATAGATACGTTGTGCTCTTACAGGAATAATGAGGAATTTTTAAAAAAATTTTGAGCAAAATAAGATCTAGATATTATTGTTACTGTTAGTAGTGATTAGGTCAATCCTCATGCAACTCAAATAATTTATCCCCTCAAAGTTACAATGTTTCTATTTCTGGATTGGATATTTTTATTTTGATGCTCCACACATCTCTGCTGTGTATTTGGGAAGGTGTCCCTCTTTCTATTTGTGACTTGCTGGGGCCCATGCTTGTCTTGGCACAGGGAGGCATCTAAAACAGATGTGTTCCACATTGAATTCACCTGATCTTTCTTCCCCAAAATGGTCCAAATTAATTTGGATTCATGGACTTCTTGCATCCAGTCTGTACTTTCATTCTTTGAAGCAATGCCCCATGAAAATCATGGCAAGTTAATCATGATCGTTCTATGTCCTTGTCATGGACATATGAACCCTTCATTTTTATTTAATTCGCTCTAACTTAGTCAAATTTGAGCACTCATGGCATAGATTTTCTAAAGTAAAAAAATAGCAAAATGTGGTAGTACCTGGGGATTCCCTGAAACCCAAGCCTTCTACTGAGGCACATATCAGAGTTTCCCACTGTGGAGTCTCTGGGGTCAGTTTTCAATTTCTTTCCTCAATACTGTTGGCATTTCCCTAATCATACATCTTTTAATTTAAAGTGACAATGA